GAATAACTGCCGCTGAATATTTGCGAAGCTTATTTTCAACCTTGAAAGATTAGCCTAGGCAAAAACATTAATCGCTTTCCCCACTCTCCCACCCTTCCACGCTGATTAAAGCTGACTGGGCTTGTTCTTCACAACACTATTCCTTACCTGGGTCTTAGGGTTTCTTTAGCCCTTGCAAGTTCCAGTACATTGGCAACTCAAGTGGACAGGAAAGATCACTGGATCTCTTATTTCCGCAGAAGTCCAAAGAAACAGTCCTGCTATCTCCCCCATTTTTAGACACATTAGGAACCCCTTCTCCCCCAAGGATCATTTGTGGAGGGTAAGGGGCACCTTTTGTGGCGCTGGTGGGCAGCTAGAGAAAGGGGGAGGGGAGATATGTCTGTTGCCCGTGCGAAGCGCTGACTGGGAAACAGCCCGCACGCGCTGCCTGCAGCCCGGTGCGTAAAACCACACAATCACCCACGGGAACTGGCTGGTGCCGCGGGTGGACAAGCGGATGCACGGGTGGACAAGCGGATGCGCGCTGGAGAGCGGAGCAGAGGGTGGCATTGGCGGCGTGAAAGACGTCTTTGTGCCAGAGCCGGCGTAGGACGCGGGGAGAAGAGAGAGTTAAGCAGAGGCCTGGAAGCAGGGGTCTGGGAGACCCTACACTCCCACTCTGAGCCGCACTAGAACAATCCGGGTAGCGCCGTCAGGGGGCGGAGTGGAGCTGGAGAGGTTGCTGGGGCGGGGAAGGAGGAGGGGGGGCGTTCTATCCCGATCAATTTGAGACAGAAGTGGGGAGAAAGCAGTTTCGAGGAAGTTGGGGAGAGGGATTGAGGGATTTGGCTCCCCGCCCTCTTCCCTAGGTGACAAAGAGATTACTTTGGCTGCAAGGGTGCAACCCCTCGCCGGGAGCACTCTCCAGAGTCGGAGAGCTAGGGAACACTCCCCGGGAGGAGCGTCCTCCCACCCTGGGTGCTGTTCCGCACCCCCTCCGCCCTCCCCCGCACCAAACACAGCTAGAGGAGAGGGGCGGGAGCCGCGCTGCCTTCCCTCTGCGCCTCCGCCGCGTGGCTTGCGGCTTATTTTCCCAGCTGGCAAGCATCGCGCTGCAGACAAGGGAATGCCTGTGGTGAGTTGTTTATTTTGTTGAAGTTTGCGGTGGGCCAGGAGAACGTGGGGGGCGAGCTGCAGGCAGTGGCCGGGACTGTTTTGTTTAGGTCTCCATCCACCTGTGTGGTATAAATCTGCCAGCCTAAGGCGGCGGGGGACCAGGGTGAGAAAGCCCCTTTTCGCCACTTGCAGGTCTAGGACCACATTTAATTCTCCATGCCTGGAACCCACCACAATCTTAGCTAACGCTGCCCACACCCCACCACGCTCTCCATCGACACTTCCCGCACCCCTGGCGTTGCCAAGGGCAGGCAGACCCCACGACCCGGGGGAACAGTTGGTCACTGAAATTCCTCCCAAGTGCCCTTCCCCATGCCTTGAGGATAGTGCAACTGAGGTTTTGATATGAAATTAGAGGAAAGCACTTCTGGAGGTGTCTAGTGTGAAGTTCGTTCAGGGGTGTCAGGTCTGCCTGGTACTACAAACTTGGATCCCAGGTTAGCCTGAGTTTCCCATACTTAAGGCTGGAGAGAGGTAGGTGGTTGACTCCTGAAGGAGCCCAGAGGAACCCCCTAGGCTGATGTTAGTCACCGCCGTGGCTGCGTTTGCCTGGAAGAAAAGCCTAAATACATTAGCAGGCTGGTAAAGCTTTTAAGGCCTTCTTGGGAGTGAGTGGTTGGCTAATGAGAGGTTAATTTTGTTTCGAAAGGAAGACTGCGCTGGTTTCCTGAGATAAATGGACAGGAAGCGCATTACCTCCGCGCACTGGCAAGCAGCTTCCAAATGCTTTTTGCACCTGCCGCTTTGAGCGGTACAAGCCACGCCGGAGTCCGCAGGGAGCGTGGGCGCGTGGTGTAAGCGCGGGTGATGAACCCCCGCGCACCCCGGCCTCTCTCCCTCCGGGGTCTCGGCACTCACGCCGAGCTCTGGGGCTCTTCTTTCACACCCAGGTCCTGCGTGTTCCGGAGCTTGGGGGCCCCCTGATCCAGCTGAGCCCCTTCCAGGAGCAGAAGGGTTAAGAATGATGTAAGTACCAAGAACGAGCTGTTTGATGCTGGGCTACTGGACTCGGGCTATTTCTGCCCCTGCATTCTCTACAATGGCTTGCACAAATCGCAACCTCAGGTCTGATTCCTGGCTTCTCTGCCCTAGGTGATCTGTTAAGCAGAGATCCTCGTGTTAGATTTCTGGAAATGGAGATATATATAACTGGGGAACAGTTAAGACATCACGTATGTGTTCAGGAAATGAAACTTAGAATCCATTAATGTTTCTGGCATGTGTTTTAATTCTGTCCACTTGCACATTCATACAGTGGTATGCTTGCTGGGTCCCCTGAATGTACTGTTCTGGTCTCATCTTTCTTTCCTGAAAACAAAGAGGACGGGAGAAAGAATAAAAGTGGCAACAGAGTGAATATGTGAGTCGTTCAAGTTGCCAGTCACCTCATGGTTTTTTTCTGATTAAAATGTAAAACTTTTATAAGTCATCAATTTTATGTTTATTTTCCAGTTGCCCTCCCCGTATTTTCTTTGTGGATTCCAAAATCTCCCTTAAACTTGCAGCTTGAGGAATGGCTGCACTGTAAAAGACCGTTCAGCACGCTCTTGATTTCCAAGACGATTTCAGATCCTGCCAACAGTCCAAATTTACCCGCGAGTGTGTCAACTGGCCTAATGTCTTGAAAATAGGAACCACCTTGCGGTTTAATTGTGAAAATTAGCATTTCCCTCTTGCGGCTGAACACTTATGCAGCAATAAAAAGTGAATTGTTAGGCTTATAAATCTTGAGCTTGTCAAATTTTACAACAGAGGAGCAATAAAGCACCTTAGAGAAGATGAAGTTTTCCCTCTGAAGAACAGTTCTGTTTCGTGACACGGATTTGCAGTGACTCGAGGGTGCCCTCTATGGGTAAGAAAATCTAGAACATCTTTGTATTTAAAGAACAGGATGGTGTCAGAGAGGGGAAAAAAGTCATCAAGCCCATTTGTATTTATTGATCCTTAACCTTTGGTAACATGTTTTGAAGTATGGTCAATAAAGTTGGGTGTTTTTTTATAGACATCGGATTAAATCTTGGTTTAAGAGTGAAAACCCTACATTTTACTGTTAGTCTTTGTTAGCTAAACACTTTCAAAAAGTGTCTCATACATTAGTTTTTAAAACACATTTACTAGCATTTCGTGTACCGTATTTCATGGATCATATGTAGTGATTGCAAGAGAGGAATTTTTTTTTTTGCTCTAATAACATTTAGTACCCCAAATTACATAAAAGTGTCAGATACATTCTGCCCTTGCCCCCATCAAAAGTCATTTCTCCAGGCAACTCTGAAGCTATTATTAAGCATATTAAAGCTAGACACAGGGCTTGGATTATATCGTGGCTAGTGAAAGGTGTGTTTACCACTTGAGTCATCATAGTGTGTAATAAGTAATGAAAAATTGCAGTAAAAACACATAGGTGTCCTTCATTAGGGACCTAGTGGTTTGAGTAATTCACAATGTGTCTTAATGAGTAAGCTGGTGAGACCTGAGGTTTGCCCCCCCAATTATCCTGGTCCATTGATTAGCACATTGTAACATGTGGAATATTAACGTGTCTGTGGTTGATACAAAATTCCTAATTAGAGATTCTGAGTAATGTAGCGGGTAACGTTGCAAACTGTAATTTGGATCCACAGTAAGTAGATTTAAAATGGCAGCCCTGAACGGTTTGGGGAATCGCAGAGGCCTGGGAAGTACGAAGTGGCTCCTACCCTTGAGGCCATTCTTGAGAGGAGATAGCACTTCACACCTACTGATAAATAAATTGGAGCCCGATTAGCAATCTCACAACTGCTTTCCTCGGTCTGTATTTTGCTTGGAGAAAATTGGATGGCTTTCCTCACACTTTTGGAAAAAATTCAAAAGTAGAAAGTGATCTGCTATTGAATAAATCTAATAGAAGAGAAATTTTTGTGGAAAAGCCACTGAGCAACAACAAAGCATGGCATAATTACACTGCATAAAAACTCACCACTCTCGTTAATCTAATTACATTGTAACCGAACACGTTGAAGTTCGCCCCCTCTCCCACCCCTCGCCGCTTTGAGGCAGGGAAGTGTCACGCAGCTGTCAGCTGTGGGCTCGCAGGTACCTTCCCGGCCCATCGAATCTGCTCCCGACCGCGGAGTCCTTTCGATAGCTAACCCAGCAGGGCTCGGAGCCAGCAGATACGATTGGCTGAGAGGGGACCTGCTGCACAGAGCTCTGGACAAACGCCGGCTTCCTCCAAGAAGCTGGAGTTGGCAGGGGGCGGACGGGAAAGAAAGGGTGATTACAAATTTAAAAAAAACTTGGAGGAAGTTGAACCTGACCACATTAACTCAAGCACAGGTTAAAGGCCAATTCCCTTGTACCGCCGGCAGAGTGAGAGTTTCTATTGGGTGCAAGGGAGCAGTAAATCGCGGAAGGGGGTGGTGGAGGAGAGAAAGCAGAAGGAAGCGGAGAGGGAGGATGGGCTCGGGCGCAGCAAAACGCCCGGCAGCGGGCGGACGCGGAACTTGAGTTGCATGAAGGAGGCGGGAGGAGGCGCGGAGGCAGGCGCTTTGAGACCTGAGAGTGGCGAGCTAGTCCTGGCGGACGCGCGCTTACAGCCAATAGGGAAGGAGAGAGGGGTGTGGCTGGGGGTGTGGCCGACGCAGATTGGCGGATGACAGGCGGGGCGGGGCGGCACTGTGGGGCTGAGATTGATTGACCGCGGAGTCCAGCGTGCAGAGATATCCGGGCCGCCCAGGGTGGCTAGCTAGGGCTGGTCCCCCTTCTGGAGGTCTACGCCCGCCGAGCCCACGCTGGCCAGGGCCGGGGCGCCCGCCCGCTCGGGACTGGTCTTAGCACTCGCTCACGGTCTTTGTGTCTTCTCTCCCGCCCTTCTCTCTCCGCCCGGCCGCCGCGATGCCTTTGCGCCCCGTTGCCACCGCCGCTGACTCGCTCCGCCCGCGGCGCGCCGCTCTCTGCGGCGGTGGCGGCGGTCCATCTTCTGTACTGGCCTGAAGGAGGAAGAAGAGGAAGCGAGGCGTGCCCCCCGGCCCATGCCGCAGCCACGGGCCCCGACCCGCCACGGCGCCCGCGCCGCCACCCTCGCCGGAGCCCACGAGACCTGCATGGACGGGCATGGGCTTGAGAGCAGCACCTTCCTGCGCCGCCGCCGCCGCCGCTGCCGCCGGGGCTGAGCAGCGCCGCCGCCCCCGGCTCTGCCCGCCGCCGCCGCTGGCGCTGCTGCTGCTGTTGCTGCTCAGCCTCGGGCTGCTCCACGCAGGTACGATGTGCGCGGGCTTTGTTCCCCTCCAGCCCCCAGATTGCCAGGGCGCTCACTTGGGGCGGAAGGCGGCGTGGCGCGATGGGCGAGGCCTCGGAGCTCCGGGCGCGCACCTTAGCCGGGAGCCCCCGCCGACCTTCTGCATGCGGGTCAGAGCCCTCCTTCCTGCCGGTCGCCCTCGCCGCCTTCGCCTGGGACGGAGGATAAATCTCGTGTCCAGCAGCCGCTTATCAAAAACCGGAGCGGGCGAGCGGGCGCTGCGGCAGCCCCCGGGACAAATGTTCCGGATGCTTTATTGCTCTCTGCCTTGGTGTTTACTGAAAGTCAGGCTGGGATCAGGTTTCCGCCGCCGCCTCCAAGCGAAGACAAGGAGCCTTGTGCTGCCTCCCTGGAGTTGGGGGTGGCGGCGAGGCCAGCGAATCGCCCCAGATGGGAAGATTTTCACCAGTTTTTAAAACCTGAGGGTTAATCCCGAAGTAACTTAAACTTACTGGAACCGGGGATTTTTTTTTTGCAAAGGCTGCTTTGAGCTCAGCGTCCGGCCTCTCTTGGAAAACTCGTGCTTTGTGGCTAGCCGCGCTTTGGGGTTCGGGAGGGGTTGACAGATCCGCGCTGCCTGCTGGAGGCCGGCCCGCCTTGAGGAATGTGTTCTCAGGGAGGGATGCGCGTGAGCCTCTAACGCGTGATGCCTGGCCTTTTTAAAAACTGCTTCATTGACATCCGGGGCGCTCTTTACAAATGACTACTTAATTTGAGAAGTTTGGGCAAAGAGTTTTTCTTTAATGCCAGAATTGAAAAAGGAGTCATCTTTTAGTACGAGAAAACCTAGGTTGGTTTTTCTTCGAGGCCTTTTTGTCCTATGTTTACATGATAGCAGTCACAACGCTCTGATCTGGAGACTCCTGAACTTGAATGCCACCCAACTGTGCGGAGAACTTTTTACCTATTAAGTCATACCAGTCGTGCTAAAATTCAGGGAGGTCTTTTAAGTCATGGGGTGGAAATGTGGCATTTAAGGCAAGGATTTAAATTACTTTAACTTTGCATTGTGATGTAACAGCTACACTGTAACTCTGTCACTTGGGGAAAAGGACTGGTCTTAATAGAAAGTATAGTAACACGTTTTAGAACGATTAAGTAGCTTTAGAACCTTAGAAAACTATCAGTCTGCATGCAATTTCATGGAAAATTTTTCTTAATGCGCCAAAAGATATATTCCAAAGTGTTCTGTATGAAAAAAATGTCTGTAGTTCCAAAGTGTGGGTTTTATGAAATGGAATTTGAAGTACTAGGTTGGACTGTGTCACCCTTGGCTGCTTGGATTGTTGTTTCCCATAGTTGTCATAGAGTCCTATGACAGGTTTGAAGTGTGGTTCTTGATCATTTCTCTGCTCCCTATGAAAAGCATAAGAAGTTGGCTTAAAGGTTTACAAAATTAAGGTGCCTTAGTTTAAGAATTTGGAACATGAAGCTCTTCTCAATTTCTCAGTGTGTCTTCATTAAGTCACCATTAGATTCAACCCAAAATGCTGTGAACTCCATGGCTGTGTGCTCCATTTCTGTGGACAGCTTGGAGTGGAGCAAATAATCTGGATATAGAGAAGAGGCTCTTTTTGGGAGATATGTTTTAAGAGAAGTGCTGTTGAAATGCAGGGTTGTTTCCCAGAGGCAGGGAGCCGATCAAGTGCTCTTTGCAGCATATGCTTTATGTCTGCATCCATATCATTTGCCTTAGCACTCCATATGGCTCTGCAGCTCACTCACTTCAACTTCAGCATATCTCGTTTCTTTTATTATAAACTGGTGATTGTGCTTCAAATTCACACATGGAGTCCTGGCTTTAGGGAAACTCTTGAATGGTGAAGCCTTTATGTCTGACTCATTAAAAAATGATGAACTGAAAGCTTTATATCTACAAATCCCTTAGCACTTTCAATATCTGGCCTGAAAATACAGTCACACCAATTGTAGATGATCTGATTCCCAAAGAACTGTGTAAGTGCAGCTTTTGAATTCTGCCCTTGGGAAATGGCTTTTACTTATTTGTATATACATATGTATTTAAAATCTTATTTTAAGTAAGCCTCTGCAGTTCCTAAGTGGAGATTCAATATGGGAGTTTCTTGCTTACTCATACACTTCATGGCCTTTGTGGCCACATCCTTGAGATTGTTTCTGCTCTGCATTGTCTTGGCATTTTGACAGGAGGCTTACTTTACCGCCTGTAACAGGCAAAGTGTGCATTGTCATTATAAATTCATGAAGCCTGGATATTCTGGGTGTATGCTACAAATTAGTCATTCTTACAGGAGCCTGAAATGGAGCTGAAAATGCTGACCCCAAAACATTTTCTCTCTAGTTAGCCCTCCATCCAGTCATTTCTACAGCAAAAGGCTGTTAGAAATCTTATCCAAAGCAAAAGAACTGGAATTCTGGTTTGTGTGGGATTTCTACAAGCAATCAGCACCTACCTGCTGTGATAAAGGAATGGTTGAGAGTGAGGGTTAGGGAGAAAGGAAGGAAAAGACCTAGGTATCTAAATTCTGAACAGTTGCTTCTGCATTTATTTCCCTGCTGTTCTTACTTTAGTTATTTTATGACTACTTGAAATAATTATAAGAAAATGTATGCTCCAATAGAGTTTATAGACCATTAAAAGAACAAATAGGCACTGCAAGTTTAGCGGAAAGTTCTTGTGTTTGCTGTCATTTATTTGTAGTCTAAGATGTGTTCATTATTGAGTGACCTTGACTGTTTTTCCTTCTTGTTTTCTACTTGCTGTGAATCTGATTTTGTAAAAAGTCATAGAATAGTTACTCCAGTGTTTTGTTCAGCTATCAGTACTACTGTTGTTAAGAGGTAGGAATTTAAGGGAGATATGCCCATCCTGAAGGAAAGTAAGCACATCCTGGCCTGCCTACTAAGCTGTGTAGTCTCCAGAACAAAGCCTTGAACACCACTTTGCCTTGGCTTTCCCATCTGAAAAATGGCTTTAAGGCTTTTGGGAAGTTAGTGTGTTTTTTGTTGTTTTGTTTTTATTTTCATTAAAATGTAGCTGAAAATGACTTGCTGTGCTTTGGAGAAAGGAATCCAATGAAGTATTGGTGCTGTTTTTTTCAGGTTTTGGAGGAAGCAAGCATGAAATAGGCCAAGCATGTGAAGATTGCTATAAATCCATAGCTCCAAAATATTAAAATAACTTTAATGGTCTCTTTTATTCCAGTTTAAGTGAATGCGAAGCCTAGGCTTTGGTCTTTGAAATTCTCAAATAATGATTGTTATCAGACGTTATTTCCAGCACTTTTCTCCCATCTAAAACCAGAAATAGATTATAGGCTTTAATTTAATTTTAAAATTTAATTTAAATTTAAAAGCAGTGTACTACTAAAAATGTTAAGACATCTTTCTAAAACATTATTAGGATTAATATCTAACAGTTCTTTCTCAGATGAAGTCCTAAATCTTGATAGTATCCTGATGTTTATAGTACTCACATATGTGTGTATGTGTGGCAGTACTGGGGATTGAACTCAGGGCTTGGGGCTTGTTAGGCAAGTGCTCTGCCACTTGAGCTATGTCCAGAAACAATTTTATTTTAAGAACAATTTACTGGTATTAACTAGGCATAGTGCTGTATACTTATAATCCCAGATCTTGGGAGGCTGAGGCAGGAGGATCTCCAATTTGAGGCCAGCTTGGTTTACATAACAGTAAGACCTTGTCTTAAAAAAAAAAGAGAGAGAGAGAGAGAGAATCCACTGATTTTTATTCCTCCCCCCCAATTTTATGCCTAGAAAATATCACAAAGTTCATTGTAGTACAACCTCCTCATTTCTCAGCTGAGGAGCCTAAGACTTAAAAGAAACTAAGAATCCTCCGTAATTTAAAGACGTGGAAAGAATCTTAAGTAACACAAACATGTTACAGCTAATTTCTGTGACATTTAAGATTGATGGTAACGTATTTCTCTTTTCAGTAAGTCTTTCTCACTTTATGGAACAGAGTATTAAATTGTTTGGTACACATGACTGACCTAGTGTTGGCAGTTCTTGTGATTTGCGATTTCTTTTTCCTTATGCCTGATAAATCGTTATTTGAGAGACTAGTGGCAAAAAGGATAATTTTGAGGTTGTTTTTTTTTGAAAATCGAGGCAGTACCACTTGAGTCTTCATTTTACCTTTGTTTAAGTCATTAGGTTTACGTGAATTGTTGGTTTAAGGGGGAAAGTTAAGTTGACGTATATTCTAGGGATTTTTCTGCTTTGTAGTTCTCTGATTCTCTTTTTGAAAAAAAACATGCATGGGGTCATTGGTTTCTGCAGCATAATTTTGAAGTTCTGTGCTTTTTATTTAGTATACTCATAGTCTGTGAGACTAGGATACTTGTGAGAACTAGAATGATAGGATGATAGACACGGCTGTTAAGAGAGAAGTAAATATGTAGCCTGGTCAAGTGAATCACTTCATTATTTTTGTAAACAGAGCATACGTATATGTTTTGTAGAAACTAGGAAATTGTGACACTGTGTAGTGTATGTGTGGTTCGTTGGTAACATGCCTCAGGGAAGATGGAATAACTGACTACCTAGATTTTTTTTCTTTATATTCTTACCCTGTAGCCATATAAGAATCAGATAAAGGTGTTTGAAGTAATCATGCCATAATTTAGGATTTTACCCCTTCCTTAGGTATGGACGCTTTAATCATGGCTTGGTACAAAGTGCTGTCCTTACAATGCTTTCCAAAGCAAATTACTCATGCAGTTCTCAAAATCAAAACAAAGTTCATGTCTTTGGCTTTGCTTTAGAACAGAAGAATCTTTGTCAAAAATCTATAAACAAATAGCAAACTTGATGAAATACTTCACTGAGTATTCCTTATAATGTTAACACAGGAACACTAGACTGGACTCATGTTAAACTAGACTCACAAAGGGCCATGCTGTGAAGTTTTAAGTAACTGCATGCAGTTTCTCTACCAGTGCCTTAGATTGAGAGAAATGGGAGCACAATACAACCCTATTTCTGAAGGCTTCTTAAAATAAGCATATATGAAACAGAACGGACAGTTCCCAGAGGAGAGTGTCGATTTCTCACGTAGCTCAGGAAGTTCTGGAGCGATTACACATGTTTGGTCTTATCTTTTTTCCCATAGGTGACTGCCAACAGCCAGCCCAATGTCGAATCCAGAAGTGTACCACAGACTTTGTGTCCCTGACTTCACACCTGAACTCTGCCATTGATGGCTTTGACTCTGAGTTTTGCAAGGCACTCCGTGCCTATGCCAGCTGCACACAACGAACTTCAAAAGCCTGCCGTGGCAATCTGGTATATCATTCTGCTGTGTTGGGTATCAGTGACCTCATGAGCCAGAGGAACTGTTCCAAGGATGGACCCACATCCTCTACGAACCCCGAAGTGACCCATGACCCTTGTAACTATCACAGCCATGCAGAAGCCAGAGAACACAGGGGAGGGGACCAGAACCCTCCCAGTTACCTTTTTTGTGGCTTGTTCGGCGATCCTCACCTTAGAACTTTCAAGGATCACTTCCAGACTTGCAAAGTGGAAGGGGCCTGGCCACTCATAGATAATAATTATCTTTCTGTTCAAGTGACAAATGTGCCTGTGGTACCTGGATCCAGTGCTACTGCTACAAATAAGGCAAGTGTACTTTCTTTTTTTCATTCTTTCTATTCATAACTTTCAGATACTTGATTCTCCAGACAGCTTTTGAAATGTGTTATAAAGGGCCTAGTTTGAGGAAACCTTGTCTTCTTGGAAAGCAATTACAGAGTTGGTAAAGGATTAAATAAAAATTTAGTAAGGAATTTGCTCTGGAATGTGGATCCAAATTTAAATAGGCAATGATACGAAGAACAAAAAGTAAACAGTAAAATGGAGTTCTCTAGGGAGAAAAGGCAGACCTATTTAATGAAAAAAATGTGTGCTTTTTTTTCGGTGATGACTTTTGAGTGCTTATGTATGTGACTTTTCTTGAAGACATACATATTCACATTTATCAGGTGACTGAAGTAGGTGTTCTGCATAAAGAAAGGTGTGAAGCCTGAGTCAATGACCCATCAGGAAACACATTTTATTGGAGATTTAGAAGCCATAGTAAGTGTGATGGCTTTAAGCCATGCTTCTAAGTGGCAAACCCACATGGTGTTTTAGTTACTAACCTCTTGGTGACCAAGGAAGTTAAGAAGTGGATGCTGTGAATGGCGATATATGATGCCCTTGTAATCTCATGGCTTCAGGATAATAGTTTAAATCAGAAGCTTAGGGAAAAGCTGGCAAACTTAAGCTTACTTCATCTACCAAGAATTTGTAATCCATGTTCTTTATTTTAAAGAAACTAATAATGTACAGAGATCCTTGATGCCAACTTAAAGGCATTACTGTCTTAGTGGAAGTAGGTAGACAGAAGATATCAACTGGGTTTCCAGCTGTCGGTCAGTGCTAATACAGGCATTAGTAAATATAGTCCAAAGGGGTTTTCTATAAAATGTGTCCCAGACTTCCCAACCACAAGACTGCATATACACCATCTCATTTTGCTTTATTTTACTGTATTTATTATATCTTTTCCTAAGCTAGTTGAGACTAAAATATAATTGATATGGGTCAAGTTTTTGAAACCCTTGCAGCTGTTATTTTGATTTCAGGATACCCTTCCTTGTCTCCAAACATGTAGTATGTTTTTTTTTAGTGAATTTAAATTATTTTACTTGGCATTTTGTGGAGGGAATTTATACTTCAAGAGATATCTAGAGATACCCAGGGGTGTATGGCAAATCTAAAAATAGAAGTCATTCCTGTGAACAAAGACAGCTGCTGGACTGGTCAAGATATCTTAGGGAACCTCAAATGTTTATACTTCAACTCTCAACAGAAGCTCAAGCTTGCCATTTGTGTTTGTTATCAAATTCTGTATCTCAAAATAAACTTTTCTTCCTCTAGTTTTTATATGCATGCAAATAATTTTTCACATATTGATCTCAGAATATATATTTGGGATAAGTTATGTTATAAAATATACAATTGTGAAGTTATGATATACCATCGCCAAAAATCCATCATTGCTGTGGAGTTGTAGGGCACCTAAAACCCAGGAATAGTCATTGTTAAGTAAAAAATTCAAGAAGGCAGTCCATTGAAAATGGGTAACGTCATCAATTGTTCAAATAATCTAGGATTTGTTAGTCACCTTCCTTTTAAGACTATAGAAATGAATAAAATTTGTGTGCATGGGAAAATTGTTTTTCTCCAATCACGTGTCGCTGCTGTTTATCATTCAACTTTTTTAAAGTCTATGTATTTTACTGATTATGGTGAAAATGTTTGGAGGACAACCAGTAACCTGATAAAGTATGGAACAATGTCCATTGCAGTAGTTAAGATCATTTCAGTTAGGGAATCCTAATTTTTATCAAATAAAAAGTTAAGTTGTGTTTCCTCCCTGTATTTGGCAAGGAGCAGAGTTTTACCATTTCAAAAAAGAAGAGAAAAAAGTGGTTTGACGTGCATTCAAGAGGACAGTTGAGAGTGTGTGGCTTTTTAATTACACCATTAGAAAGTCACATCTGGTGACCATGCTGTCTAGCAGCAAATTACTCTGTGGCTTCAGGACCTCTGGTGGTTATTGGGTTTTATTTTTGTTTTGGGCCCTCCCCCCTTTTTGTAACTCTCCAGGGCCCCATAAGCATTTGGAAGGTTACTGTTGGTGTCCTGTCTCAATGCTGGTAGGATATGTGCTAGTGAAACCAAACAAAGGCCTAAAATCTTGCAATATAATCTCCTTTCACCTACATAGGGCCAAAATAAAACCTTTAAAGACCCCAAGCATCAAAAGATATTGGTGATTAAAAATATGTATATGAGGTAAAAAGTGTTTACAAAATAAGTTCCAAACAAGATCTGATTTTTTTCATTGCATTTCTGCAATGCTTTCTTTTAAAAAAAAGAAAAAAAATCTTTTGAAAGGATTTTTTGCATGTGAGCCTCAGTCTATGTGAGTCAGATTTTTCATCACTGTGATAAATACTTGAGAGAAGCACTTTAAAGGAGGAAAGATTGTTTTGGGGTTCCAGTCTGGATCCATCACTTTGGGCCAGAGACAAGGCAGAAAATCCTTGGCAGCAGGAGCAGGTAGCAGAGGCTGCTCATCTCAAGGTGGCCAGAAAGCAGAGAGAAATAGGAGGAGGCCAGAGACAAGGCTTATCTTTCCAGGCTATGTCCCAGTGACCTACTTCCTACCACTTCCCAGTAAATCCCCCATGATCCAGTGAGTGATTGAATTCATCAACCAGGGACCACTCATTTAACAAATAAACTTTTTCGGAGGGGTAGGTATGATGGGAAGGCACTTTGTATGGTAAACATTGAGAAATTATACACATATATAGACCAGTGTTGAATAACACAATATACCTTGTACTATGCATTGTAGATGCTAAACCATCCTTGTGTGCTCAAAACATTTGTAATGACTGTGTGCTCAGTATTAACTGTCTTTAAAGTCTGACCAGTGCTTTCATAGACAGTGGCTGGCCAGCTGTGATAATGAAAGTGTTGTTTCTAAACACCCATTCATCTCATTGGCTTCAGTGCTGCACTGAAGTGCTGCTCAATGAAGTCACAAACGCAGTTCAGTTCTGGGAATAGAGCTTCTTGAATAAGCCATCTTCAAGCCTAGTTTAATGAGGTCTCCCTGCCGAAAAGTGCCCCACTTTCTCTCATTACAAAAAGACAAGATAGGAGAAAAAAAAAAATCTAAACAACATAATTGAAGAAAATGAAGTCATCTGTGTCCAAGGGTTCATTTATTAGTTAAGCCTTTTTGTCACATGATAAGCAGTAAGTTTAAGGCAGATAGGCCTGCAGTGTGATGTTTCCTGATTTTCCCTTGATTGCTGTGCTCTCTACCTCCTGCTGCTGTTCTCCCCTTCCCTAAGAAAGGTAGGGCTTGTTCTCCAGGTGGTGGTGGTGTACACAAGTGTGTTTCTCTCAGAGTCTCTGTTTTTGTTTGTGCCATCTGCCAGACTGCTATGTTTTTACTCTCCAGAGGTCTCTGCACCAGTCAGCCAGCTTGCTGGGAAGGGTATATATATTACTGAAGGTGAAGCCAGGGCAGGTTTTTCATCTTTCCACCCCAGGACTGCAGGGGTTTCTGGCACACCCACACACCTTGACTGAGATCCACATCAGCTCTGGGCCATCTTCCCCACCTTTTGCTATGAGAGGTGGCTGCAGTATTTAGGGGAGAGTTGAAATGTGAGGGGCAGGCTTAGAATTGGCATAGTTAGCTACACTGGAAGAAGAAGCAGTTTTTGTTTGGTGGGAGGTGATAACCCACACCCTATAGGCTCCCATGCATCTCACATACTCCGGAGGAACCCAGTCATCTGTTTGGGAGGATGGTTAGCTTCTGTTCCAGCTGCAACTCTAGTTCATTCTGTGTTTCAACAAAAGTGCTCAGTGAGGATCTGTGTGTGTGTGATCACAGAAGGGGGTGGGGAGGTATAAAGCCTCTATTCTAGGGAAGGATTCTGTACTTCACAAATGCACTCCTTGTAGCTTATATTAAAATCCCCAGGGCCAAGGTGTAGCTCAGTGGTGAAGCACTTGCCTAGCATGAGTAAAGCACTGGGTTACAGCCCCTTCCCCATAAAAAAATAAAAAGAAAAGAAAATTATTTTTTTTAGTTCTCAAATTCATTTAAAATGATTGCTTTTCAGAAACATTCAGAAATTGATTATTAAATTGCACACCTAACAATGGCACTATTTTTAGTAATTTTTTACAAACTATTTGAATAACTTTATTTTTTCTTTTAGTTTTAAGGTAATCAAACCTTTTGCACCACACTGACTTTCTTGTACTGTGCTTTAGTCTCAAAAACAAAATAAAGAGTAGGAAGGAAGACTGGGGACAAATACAGGTCCTGTTACAGATCTTGTGCTACACATTTTGCTGTGCTCCATCCTTGAGTGGAAGACAGAGTCACCCTGAGACAGTTTGCATTTGGGAAGGGTCTGTACTTTTTGTGCTTGACCAAACTAGATGACTATTGACCTGGTAAGTGGGCACTCCAAGGTGCTTTGTATATTCCTGCTCCTGCCGTGGGCCTCCTGCTCCTGGTAATACTCAGTGCCTGTCCAAAACACTGTAGGAGACCCTGCCCATTAGGGATATTTACATGTATGTATTTTTTAATTCCATCAACAGCATCCCTAAATCTCAAATTCTGTAGCTACCTAATAGAAGTTTCTGACACTTTCCACTAGAGGGTTAGAAAAACTCAACTTTTGTTCATTTCTGATTAAGGCCTTCCTCATTTTCCATTGTGAACACCAGTCCCTTGCAGGCAACTAGGATATGAGGTGGGCCTAATTCTTCTTTCTTGAAAACCCTCAGCGTATAGGTGTTTTCCCACACCAACATATGTTCATGTAAATCAGTGTTCTGGATCATTCTCTGTTGGTTATAAAATCTGAGCCAGACATTCCTGTATGGCAAAGGCTGTCAACTGTCATTTTAAGTGTATCTCTGCATCGAGCTTTGGAAATGTGCTCTCTCTTGACCCCAGGCCTAGTACGTATTTTGCTGCCAAGTTTTTAAAACGCATTATGTTTTTAGTGTCTCTGTAGAGACCACGT